AGTTGCTGTATGCGGGACTCGGCCTCAGGATGAACGGAGAAGTGGTGCCTCGATGCGCACCCGGGATCCGAACCCGGGCCACCAGCATCGCAGCGCGCACACTTAACCACCAAGCCACAGGGCCGGCCCTTAATTTCCTTTTAATTCTTATAGTTTAAATGTGTTTATGCCTTTTTCTTTCAATTTGTAATCCAGATACCTATCAGATAATCTAGATATGCCAAAGAGAAAAAAAATTACCTAACATCCTCATTCAATCAGTAATGAATCAATCTCTTTGTATCCATTCCAGATAGTTAATTACCACCACTAGTTCCTTGGACTAAAATTACTTTGGGTAGAGGGCACAGGGGATAACGAAAATCTCTTGGTCTATTTATGAATCTAGTTTTTTCTCCTTTATAATGTTGTGATTCAATTTGAATATTATAGGTCCTCTAGCATTAAATTAAATTGGGGAAACCATTTTTTTAAACAAAACAAAATACATGTCTCACTACCAATTTATAACAGACATGGCATTTTAAAATGATGTATTCATCAAGGGAAGGTTTTTATTTCTGACCGATCTATATTTTCAGATCATTTGATCATCAAATAAACTACTTCAAGTTGCATTGTTGAAGTTGATATCCTAGCATAAAGTGTGAAATATTCCAAGCATTCTCAGATCTGCATAATGGAGTCATTGCCCCATCTTCCTCTATCCTCTTAGGATGCCGGATCATTTTGCAAGTGTGGAATGGAAACTGAGCCACTATGTTCGATGTATTAAAATGGTGAACCCATCCACAGAAACTGGCAATTTGGAGGTACGTAACAAAAATAGCAAAAGGAAAGCCAAGTTGAAACATGTAGCACTTCCTCCAACACCCATGCTCCTCTCACATTTCCTTCCTCCCGGTAGACACATGCTCTGTCAGAACTAAAACTGCCTCGCTAAGACTTACCATTTCAGGCTTTTCAGTGGGCAGAGACCTAGTTATAACCTAGCACTGACCTTACCACTGAATTTTTACCAAAGAGTAGAAAGGACAAATAAAAGAAAGAACTAAAGAAATCTGGCTTTTGTTGCAAGCAATCTATTTGAGATCTGTATCTAATAGTTGGCCAGATAAGCCAAGCTTGATTTTTAACCTAACATAGGTTAGTTTAATGACCTATTAGGCAATAGAATAATTACTTCCTCTTTTGTTTCCAGCACGATCATAAAAGTGGGATGACTATGTAGATAACTGATAGCACATATCTCCAAAATAGATTTTTTTTTAATCTCAGCCATGGCCTAAAAATTCCTTAACCAATAATCATAGCTCAATACACAGAAAACTGAACTAGGAAAGCATACATGGAATCCTTGTTTGAGAGAGAATTAAATAGATCTTGCCCAAGTATCTCCAGAAGATCACTGAGATCATAAGAAAAACTGTGATTTGCAAATCACATGTCATTTGTATCATATGACCTCAAATCTAGCCATGGCAGTTTTGTCAGAGTTATTACATGATATGGCTCCAAGTATCACTGTTTCTTCCTCTCAGCAACAAGCAAAGATGTGTTTTTGAACCAGATTTAATTGTAGCAAAGTATGTACAATTTTGTCTCATAAATCCAATAAGATGCTGAGAATACAGCACGGTCTTAACTTATGAGATAGTCTTTGACTGCTAAGAAAAGAATAAAACTCTAAGCAACATCCAGTGTCCATGGTAACGTAGCTTGGCATTTTCTCTTCACAAAGAAGAAATTATTTCTGTTTATTTATACTTTCAAGGATTTCATGAATTATAATGTCTGTATTGAACTCAAACCTAGACTTGTACTATGTTCTAAATTATTTTTCAGTCATTTTGCATTATCCAGTAAATAGGTTTTCATATTAGAAAAGCACTCTAAATCCAAGTAACAATGAATAATATAAAATACAATAAAATTATTGATATCAGTGACATAAGACCTTATTTCTCCTTGGACAAAATGTGAAGCCAATAGTGAGAATTTGCACAAGCACTTTATATTGTTGCATGTGTGGTCATTACAACGTTTTTGTTCATAGAATTTTCAAGTTCTTGTAGAATTAATCCATTAAATAATTGATCCTGATAGACAATTTATAAGAAGATAAGTAAAATACTAGGCCTTTTTTTCCACTTTTTATATAGTTTTTTAGTATAAAATTGGAAAAAATGTATTCTTCTTTCTTCTCCTCCCTCTGCTTCTCCTTCCCCTCCTCCTTCTATGCCTCTTCCTTCTTCTCCTACTTTTTCTCTTCCTCCTCCTCCTTCTTCTTCTCCATCTCTTTCTCCTTCTCTGTAGTCCAAAGTATAAGTAAATTGGGACTCTTCCTCCAGTTGTAATTGAATGGTAAAAGGAGAAAGCTAGAAGTCATGATCTAACACTGCTGCTAGAGAAGGCTAGTCCATTGCCTTCACTTTTCAAAGCAGTAGGAGCAAGAAGTGTTCACTGGTAACAAATCACTTGCTCCCTTCTCCAACTCCTAAAACTGCTATCCTATACAGGGCCCAGCTCAGTAATAAACTGTCGTCAATTAAAATCTCACTCATTATGGATTCGGTGAATGTAGAAGAGCCTTCAATAAGCAGAAATGATCTGCATGGTCTACCTTTCCTTTGATGTGTGATACAAATAAAAACAAAACAACTCCCTATACTCTGAAAATTTGTAGGCTGTAACATCCCTGCCACACAACCAGACTTCAAGGTCTACCTTTTCCCTTCATGCTCTGTCAATCTGGGGTACTCTGGGGATAGACAGAATGCCTTTCCCAATATTTCATTGTTTGAATTTCAACTCTTCATCTATCTCCATCAAGGGGCTATCATTTCTAAAGCCATTCCATCTCAGTGTATAAAAGTTGGAAATATCATGCATCTGTCTCTGGCCATGGAAGCAGTGTTAAGTAGACTGAATTGAGAGCGTGTCCCTCTTCTCAGGTTCTCAATCCTGCCACTGCCATTGGCAGACTATGTGCATATAAATAGGTTATTTCACCTCTCCTGATCTTTGTTTTCTCTTCTTAGACTGTGAGGCTTAGACCAGATGATCCACGATGTGGGTCTCAGTCATTTGGGGATCCCTTGAAGCTCTAAAATATCTAATATTTCAATAAAATGTTTCTCTGCTCCCCATATCAAAACAATAACTTCCTATAGCTGGAAAATCAGTTGTTATAAATATTGTTACTAAAAACAAATGAACAGACCACACAAAAACCTGCATATGAGCCTTTATAGTAGCTTTACTCATAGTGGCCAAAACTTGGAAGCAACAAAGATATCTTTCAATAAGTGAATAAGTAAACAAACTGGTACATCCATACAATGGAATATTATTCTTCAGTGAAAAAAAGTGAGCTATCAAGCCTTGAAAAGACATAGAGGAACCTTAAATGTATATTACTAAGTGAAAGAATCCAGTCTGATTCATATTGTATGATTTCAAAGAATCATATTGTATGATTTCAACCATATGACACTTCGGAAAAGCAAAACTATAGAGACATTAACAAGATCAATGGTTGTCACAAGTAAAGAGGGAGGGAGAGAGGAATGAAAAGGTGAAGCACAGGGAACTTTTAGAGTAGTGAAACTATTGTGTATGATATCATAATGGTGGATACATGGCATTATGCATTTGTAAAACCCATACAATGTATAACACAAAGACCAAATCCTAATGTACAAACTACAGACTTTAGTTAATAATATGGTATCAATATTGGTTCATCAGTCATAACAAATGTACCACTCTGATGCGAAATGTTAAGAACAAGGGAAACTGTGTGGTGGGGGGAGGGAATATATGAGAACTGTATACTTTCTGTTCAGTTTTTCTGTAAATCTAAACCTGCTCTAAGAAATAAAGTCTATTAATTTAAAAAGTGAATAAAAAATAACTAAGTTTAAATTTCCCTCAACAAGAATAAAGATTTCTACAATAGTTCCAGACAGACATCAGTCTCTCAACTTACATCTCCATCTTAAGTATCTCTGACTAGTGAAAGACTTATAGGAATTTCAGGATCCTATGCATATTAAAGAGAGTTGGATCCTGATGAGTCCTAGACCAAATTCTGCTTCCCAGGCACTGAGATCTCTGTACAACCAAAAAGATCTTAGAGTACCTTCCTGTTATGAACTGAACTGTGTTCCCCCAAAATTTATATGTTGAAGTCCTAACCCCTATTACCTTAGAATGTGGCTATATTTAGAAATAAGGCCTTTAAAGAGGTAATTAAGATTAAATAAGGTCATAAGGGTGAGGCCCTAATGCAATATGACTGATGTCCTTATAAGAAGAGAAAGAGACACCAGGGACGCTCACACACAGAGGAAAGGCCATGTGAGGACCCAGGAAGACGGCAGCCATCTGCAAGCCAAGAAGAGAGGCCTCAGAAGAAACCAAATCTGCTGGCACTTTGATCTTAGACTTCTAGTCTCTAGAACTGTGAGAAAATTTCTATTTAAACCACCAATTTGTAGTGTTTTGTGAAGACAGCCCTAGTAGACTAATACACCCCCACTCTGGTGTTTTGATTATAATAATTGCCATTATCACCATCTGGTGATATCATAATTTAGCGATTAAATGATTCTAATAATTGTGATTATCATATCTGGTGATTAAAAAATTTCATATTCCAATTATTTTAAATTTAACACTTCATACTAACCTGGAAATAAGATTTCTTTGATTTAGATCTTTTTCTCAGAAGTGCTATTTTATTACTTTCAAATACATAATGATACCAAATTGATGCCTTAAACAATATGTTGCAAGATTTTTCTCAGTGAGTAAATGTCTGACTTGTGATAGTTCAGAGTGTAAGTTCTGGGCAGAAAGAAATTATCTTACACATTTTTATGTTCTTTAAATAGCTAAATATGCCACCAAATATATACAAGTTTCCTGATAAACAATACTTGATTGATGTGTTTGCATGTTAAGGAATTTTCCTAAAATCCACTAAACCTACTCTTATTAGACATCTTCATTATTATTTTTAAATCCTCCTAAAAACAACTAATATGCAGGAAAATAAATTTCAAGTTTTAACTTGGAAAAGTTAATACTTTCTCTAACTTACCTTGTCTGAATATGAAAGTTGTTTGTGGTTCCCGTATGCTCATAATCATGAATGGCAGCGGCAAAGACTGTTGCTAAAATTTCCAGCTCAGTGAGCCAGTGCTGGTAAATTAAAAAAAGATTCCATTATATTAGAAAGCAGAGGGCTTGTTGTCTTTCTACAAAAAAGATTTTCAGTGCACCCAATATAAGCAATCATATAAAATTGTTTTTACTGATTTTAAAAAATTTTTTCTTCCTATTTCACTTCCATTAATTGTGCTTAATGGATGCTTAACGAGGTCAATGATTGTTTCACGGGTTGTAAGTTTAAAGTCCAGACATTATAATTTTCCTTGCTAACTGGAAAAAGAGTAATTTTCTATTATGTAAAAGGTAACCCTGACTGGATTTTAAACTCACAGCCTTACCAATTTGAGTTCTCATGAAATCACTCAGAGTTTAGTGATTTTTAACATATAGTTTATACATCATTAAAATTTCTTTTAGCTTAACTTTTGTAAAAGACCCTACTATGAGAAAATTCTCCATCTAAGAGTTGAAAATATTCACTTTGCTCATTAGAGAAACCGAATTATTATTTTTTTTTGTGAGGAAGATCAGCCCTGAGCTAACATCTGATGCCAATCTTCCTCTTTTCTCTGAGGAACACTGGCCCTGAGCTAACATCCGTGCCTGTCTTCCTCTACTTTATATGGGACGCCACCACAGCATGGCTCAACAAGCAGTGCGTCGGTGTGTGCCTAGGATTCGAACCAGCGAACCCCGGGCTGCCGCAGCTGAGCTCGAGCACTTAACCGCTTGCGCCAGTGGGCTGGCCCCCGCGAATTAGTTTTTATATTTAAAGATTTAGACGTTTCTAAGATTTACCAAATTTGCTATTCATAACACATGCATTCTATGTGCAATTAAACTTAATAACAGTGAAAGAACAAATGGTTTCACATAAAATCCAGGCCACCTGCTTCATATACATTGATCTTTTTTGTTATCAATGGGATGGCTTAACAAAATTTCTCTACTATTATTAGGTAATTCAATAGTTGATTCATCACATTTTGCATAACACTTTTACTGCGCTGTCCAATATGATAATCACATGTGACCATTTAAATTAAAAATAAATAAAATTAAGTTCACTTTCCCAGTCACAGTAACCACATTTCAACTACCTGATAGTCACGTCACAAGTGGTTACCATATAGAATAGTGCAGATACAAACCATTTCCATCATCACAGAAAGTTCTTTTGGACAGTGCTACAAGTAGGTAGTATTGGATGATAAGAATGGAGGATCCAAAATTATATGGAGCTTATTCACAGTGGTTTTATTCCATACACTTGAAACAATTAAAGACCTTGCACAAAGCAACAGGAAAATATAAGGTAAACTACATGCATACTTGATAAAAAGTCACAGAATAAAGGTGCAATAGAAGGGCAGAGAGAGAGGATGTCTATTTGGTGGCAGTGGATCTTGGAAGAAGGATGGACAAAGATTGGTAGCTAAATGTAAGATTGGGAACAGAGAGATTCTAAATAGAAAGAACAAATGTAGAATGATACTATAGAGGCCTGTATGGAAATTGAATTGCCAATAGTACAATCGTGTTGGAAAGTCAAGTGAAGTGGGGTTGAAAAGAGAGTGTAGAGTACGGGAAAGAGTTGATAGACTACTTTGATTAGAACTGATGAATTTGGATTTTGTATAAAAGGCAAGAGGGAGCCATTGTAGGTCCATGAGTCAAAAAACGAAGGAGGTGACAACTGTTGAGTCTCATAGTTGCCAAAGGCATCGTCTTATTAATCTTTGCTCCTTTCACATAACCTATCATGGTATTTGGCACATAGTAGGAACTTAATATTTCTCTGTTAAATTGAACTTCACCAGTTTTGCATTAGGAGGAGCTTTGGGTAGTGGGAAGAGACTGTGGAATCAGGCAACCCTGGTTTTAAATCTTTGTTCATCCTCAAGCAAATAAGTTATTTACCCTCTCAGCCACAGTTCCCATGAAAATAGAATTAGTGATCATTCCCCTGTGGAGTTTAAAAGAAGTTTAAAGCTAATGTATGCACTGTGCCTATCACAAGTATTGTCATATAATAAATAGAGAATCATGGCATTTTACTGGACTTACTACCTTAAATACATTGATTAAGGCATTGAAGCTGGAAAATAATAGTGAGCTAACATATCTTTAGTGATTGCAATTCAAGAATAAATGCCTCACAGTTGGATTAGAAGCAGAAATCATTTTCAGAACCAAAGCGAGTTGATATAACAAGCTTTCCTGTGTTTATAGGTGCATTTAATTGTGAATCATTAAAAGGAAGCATATGACCTTATTAAAACCCTTTTAATAAGTGGGACGGAGCCTGCAATGTCCCCGGTGAGACTCCATGAAATGAATGGCAATTGAAGTTAAACCAGTTTTTGTACCCTCAGAAACCCATTGTTTTGTTAAAAAAAAATTGTTCCTAGAAAAAAAAGCACCCATTTTCTTAAGTATTTCCTGTTGGTTATATCTAAGATTTACAGATTTAACTGATTTTTAAAAATGCAATGTTCAATATCTACCACAATAATATAGAATATAAAGCTCTAATTGTAGAAAAAATTAAATTATGAAATCAGAGATGGATTTTAATTACAGATTGTCTTGTAAGTATTTAAAATTATCTTTCTAGCTATCAAAATTGATTATATATGTTTCCTGTTTTTAATCTCATTAATCTCTGCCTCCCATATTGTACCTCCTCCATGAATCCCTCTTATTTATTGCCACACTATAATCTTAATAATTAAGTTACATTATAAAGTAGTTTAGGAAGAGAGAAACAATGAACTTTTACACTTAATTGAAAAATACATCTATTTTATATTAAAGTAGAATTTTAGGCTGATCTTTTCGCTCTTTATTTGCTGATTCATTGTATGCTGGTGTCCAATGAGAATTCTAACTCAGAAAATGGATGCTTAAATTCATACGTTTTGTAAATGATTCATGAGGACAAGCCAGAGGGAATGAGGCTGAATCATACCACTCTTCCCAACTAGAACAGTCGTCCGTACATAACCTAGGTTCTTCTGATTCCTAATGGGCAGAAATAAAGGGTTAAAATGATGACTCATGAGCAATGCAGACACTGCGCTTCATCCACACTGCAGGTTGCATTTTGCCTAGAGAAATGCTCATGTAGATTTGCTCTAAAATGGGAAGTCCTCAAATTATATCATAGGGAGGTGTTGACTGCCATTAATAGCATGTACAATGATGATGGAAAGAAAGGAGAAGGAACTAACATTAACTAGACATTTTAGTTAGATGGTCTCATTTAATTTTTTTAACAACCTTATTTATCATTTTCTAGGTAAATATTTTTATCTTTATTTGGCAGACAACAAAGCTGAGTCCTGAAGAAGTGAATCAACCTGCCAAAGGTCACATAGCTCTCAAGTGATAGAGCAGGAATTCACCCCAAAATCTATCTGATTCCAAAGTTTCTGTTCCTTCCACAGATCACAATATTCCTTCTATGGATGACAATAGCATTCATTAATCAAAGGAACACATTAGTCTTAGGTTTCAAAAGCAGAATTTCTAGATAATTTAACTGGATATATTGATGGGTAGAAGCTAATAGAGCTTCGATTTAAGACATAATGTAATTTTCATATCTGAATTATTCAGTGTTTGTGTGTGTTTGTGCGATAGAGAAAGTATATCTGTGTTTGTATAGGGCTGGGAGAATTTTAGGTCAGAAAATCTCATTGGCCTATTGGTTCCTGGTGTGTCTAAAGAGCATAATTAACAAATCTTTTAGCCTAAATTATAGCGTTGTACCCTTTTTTCCTCTATCTCTTTGAATAGGCTGAAGTAGTTTGCTATAATTTACCCAGTATAGAAAGAAAGTATATTATAATAATATTAATACATAATACACATAAGTTAATATAATATAATACGTTCATAATAATTTTTATTGACATTAGGGTATGTGCTAATAGCTACTATGTCTCAGGAACTAGGTTAGGTACTTTACATATATAACATCATTGACTCCTCACTGTTGTACTACAAGGTAGTTGGTATCACTAACCACATTGTAGTGACAAGGGAACCAAGGTAGAGAGTGACTGAGCTAGAAATTGGGGAAGTAGGGTTTCAAACCTACGTGTGATTGCCTTGAAGGCCCACTTTCCACTCTGCCAAACAGTGTTGTATGGGAAGCCATTTACAAGAACAGAATGTCCACGTAGTTTGTAGAATAGAGACATAGTGGCAAATTTTCTGTAGATTGATTGGAGAAAAATTGAGTCATTCTAGAGTGTGGGAGGCTATTTCTGGGTGTAGTCAGTGGACTACAAGTTCCAAAGGAAATAGACTTCAAGCCATCTCTCTTCTACTCTTAGATTAGAGAGAACACAGTGCCAGGAGCCCTGAAATGCAAATGTTCCCTTGCCAAGGCCCTTGGATCATTTCATATCCAAGGAGACATTTGGAGGTGGCTTGGCAGCACTCAGTGAAGAATTTGCTCTTTAGCAAATGGATTGAGCTACCACACACCATTGTCACTGTGGCACAGGACTACAAGTTAATTAAGTGACAAAACAGAGAGAGGGAGACAGAGAGTGTACAGCATCAACTCTCCCCTGCACTGCCTACTCCCAGGCCTGAAGGTGTTCCCTATGACATTAAAAAACTAAAGGACAATGGCTTCATTACAATGGCAATGGTTCTCTAAATATTTTGCAGGTGACAGACTGCATTAGTCACCTGACAGTGTTGGGTTGTTCCTGTAGTGCTCCATAAATGTCACACTGATAAGACCATCCTGACACAGCAGGGCATCAACTAAAACGCTGAAGTAAGTGACCCAGCCTTCTCTATATCAAATCTGAGGGGTTTCAGCTAAATGAGTATTTCTATAATGCTTTGTATGGTTCAAAGAACCAACACATTCATATACATGAAAATTAATACTCACTTACCACCACTTGTTCATCTAAAGAAAACCTCGTTAAAAGAGCTTTCCAAAAACTGTCAAGCTGGCAGTGTAACCCAGTTTTGAGAAAATAGTCCATTAATTTGTAAATTCATTTTGCCTTTCCTTTCACCATCTATCATAAAATTTCTCATTACTCCTTTTAGTTTAAATGTATTTTCCTGATCCCAGACAACACTGACAGTCTCCCACTAGACTATTTTTGTAATAGCCAAACTAAGGAGTGAGTAAAGAGCCCACTGATACTTTTTTCCCGAAGGATGAGTCAAATTGGAAACAAGTTTCCAAACCAAACCTGCTAAAGTAGAGTGAAGCTATATTTACAATTAGTAAGTCATGGTCCTTTCAAAACGTAACTATGTGATCTTTATTAACAACTTCAACTTTCTAGGGGTCATGCCAGGCTGGGCCAGATCTCCTCCCTCTTCCAGAGAAATTGAAATGGCTTGTTATATCCTGGAACAAATCTTCCTTGCAAATCTGAGGGTAAAGTCACACTGTGGATTTGAATTTCTCTCTTTACTCACTAATACAGCATCCCTCATCTCTTCAATGTCACCTTCAGAACAGAGGTTCTGAAGCTGAAATAGGAGACTTTTATTTGTCTCCCTTTACATTTGCGGCAAAAAAAAAAAAAGTACTTGAGCAGAAAAGTATATTAAAATAATGAAATCCTGGTTACCTCCCAGCTTGAAATGGCATATATCTCTCATTGCACTTCATAATGAAAGTGGATATTTTATTATACTGAAGTAGGCATTACTTTTCCATTCCATCTTGTTCTGAGGAAACTTAATCAATCCAGTTTCCATTCCAGAGTAACACTTAAATATTTCATTTTTCAGTTAACTTTTTCAAAGCTACAGAATTCAGGAAAGAAGAAATGCCAAACACTTGAAATGAAAATCACCTCACTAGCAGATTCAAGACCAAGGCTTTACAAAGGAAAAAGCAGGCAGCTCTAACCAGGAAGATGTTGAAGCAACTTTTTAAGTGTAACAGCATTTGGGGCTGTCAGGAGACACTGTTTTCCACACTAATTGCCATGCGTATCAAACCAAGCGAAAGCAAAGAGTTCAAGAAACAGCTGTAACAATAAAGCCTCATTAAACCAAAAGAGCTTGAAAAGAATTTCTGTGTGTGTGTGTATGTGAACACATGCTAGAAAGAGAAATGAGTTTAAAGAATGTTCCATATACTACTTTTAAAAAGCTTACAGTATTTTATTTTTTTATTCTTTTATTTGTTTATTTTTTTGTGAGGAAGATCAGCCCTGAGCTATCATCTGTTGCCAATCCTCCTCTTTTTGCTGAAGAAGACTGGCCCTGGGCTAACATCCGTGCCCATCTTACTCCACTTTATATAGGAGGCCGCCACAGCATGGCTTGACAAGCGATGCGTTGGTGCACGCCCCAGATCCGAACCCTGGGCCGCCGCAGCAGAGCGTGCGCACTTAACCGCTACGCCACTAGGTTGGCCCCCGCTCACAACATTTTAAAGTTATATCTTTGAATGTTTGAGTTGCTACTTGTTATTGGTAACCTCTACTTCCTTCCTTTAAATGTCAAGTCAGACTCTTGGAATGAATGGTGAGTAAACTTCAACCAAAGACCAAGCCCAGCCATGACTGCATTTGATCTAGCCCAATGGGCACACTTACACCTTGTCAGTGATGCCCACACGTACACCTTAAAACAGGAAAACACAAGGTACAAGGTTAACAACACACAGTTCAGCCTTCTAAAAGGTCACAAGAGGGTCATGCCACTGCATTGGTGAAGGTTTTTGAGATTTCTGCCTCCCTCCCAAATAGGACTTAACTCCTATTATTATATTACTTTGTAATCTTGTCATAGAATGCATATTTCTATTGAATTGGTGGTGAGATTCTAAGAAAATCCTTTATTAAAAGCCTTGCTGAGCTCCCAGCCATTAGCCATTGTCAATGCCAGCCATATGCATGAACCATTGTGGATGTCTTGCCCAGTGATGTCCTCAGATGTCTTCAGCTGTAGTTGCTAGCTGATCGAAATCACATGAGAGACCCCAGGTGAGAACTTTCTAGTTGGGACATTTCTAACCACAGACCCTTGAGAGATATTAATAAATTATTGTTTTAAGCCACTAAGTTTTGGAGTAGTCTGCTTTGCAGCAACAGATAATTGGAACATGGGGCAGGAGTGCGATCTGAGTCCAAAGCTTGATGGATCTGCAACATTTTGGAGGCAAAGAAAGACGGAGAAGAGGAATAGACAATTTCTTCAATCATCATATGAGACACTATCAGATGAATCAAAGCAAATAGATGTTATATGTAGCAAACAACTATAGTTTCTTGGGCAAAAATGAAATAATGATGAAAATTTTCTGTATGCAATAAACTTGGAGAATCATGTACCTGTTAAAAGTTTTCAAGATCTTCAGGATAACTTACTGTGGCCCTAAGGGCTTTGCTTAGGACCAGGTTAGGAATACAGTCTCTGGTGTAGAAAGATGAGGTATTAAGAATCTCTGGGCTCCAAAGAGTACTAGCTACATAGATCTGAGTGCCAATGACCCTTGCCTATAGAAAAGGGTGGCTTCTGAAATCTAAACAGGTCGGCAATGCGTATTATGTGGTTTGGCGAAACATTCTACTGACATGTACTTTATGGCACTGCTTCAGCCTAGGTTGACACACGAGGAATCAAGAAGGTACTAAGATTTGGGGATCTCACATGGCTTACCCCCATTTGAACCCACTTCAGTTTGGAACCTTCAGAAGGAAGAGCTGCTCCTCCCTTTTCAGCTTTTGGGAGTCATTCTAAGCTCTGAGACGTTACAAACATTCCAGGCAGTCTCAGAGTTCCTATCATCCACTCATTGTTGTCCCAGGATTTGCACTGCTGAATTATTTATTTACTTAAGCAGTGATTCATTCAGATGCAAAGAAGAGAAAGGAGAAATTGGAAAAATTCACGTGAATAATTTCCAAAATCCCTATTAGGATTTGATTGTGATTAGCAACACAAGAAAAACAGAAAAAGCTACTGAGTTCACCTTGGAAGAACATGATGATATGAGGGAGGAGCACTATAACTTTTATCCCAAAGACTTTTTCTCTAGGTCACTTTTTTTTTTTTTTTTTTGGTTGATTCCTATTGGAAAAGGAATTTACAAGAAAAAGGTTCTATAGTCCAAATTTTGGAAAATTTGCAGTATATTTTCATTTGCATCTGGGAATCTTTTTTTCCAGAGATAAAATACTTTTTGAAAAATGTGTATTATGAATAACTCATCAGCCCTCAAAAATCCAAGCATTATTACTACTTGTAATACTTCTATGGCGTTAAAGAGACAATGGAAACTTAGGAGAATGGAATTTGATGTTCCAAACTAACAAACTTCAGTTACAAAGACTTTCTTACCATGATACCTGTATGAAGCATTATGTAATGCACAGTTTGAGTGACATCAGCTGCGTGAATCAAATTGTGATAAGGATTTTTGTACTTGCTGTAACCAACTTCTAAAGCTTCTGCAAAGGAAATTAGGCAAGAAACAGGAATCTGCAAAAAGTAATAATTATGATTATATTGTGACCAAAGGAGTAGCACTAAATCAACATGAGCAAACAATGCTGGGGAGGGGACACAACAGTGAGTCAGATGTGGGCAGTAGTTTCTTGAAGTTAAATGTGGACAGTTCTGAAAAACTACTTCATTAACCTGTTACCTTTCAATTCTGAGAAAGATTTTAACCCCCAAGTGTCTAACTAAGATAGATGAAATAACAGTCTTACCCGTATTGTCATCATTAAATGTTTATATCTTCCAGAGTCAAGTCAGAAGGCTGGTTCTTAAAAGGGTAAAATTTCCCAATTACAATTGGAGAAGTCTCATTTTTCTGTCCATAATACAAGGGGTCAAAATAAATGACCTCCCAGTACCTTCTAGCTCTAAAAATGCCATGATTGCACAGGTAATGATGAAAGGTACAGGCTGTAGAGTGCTCAGAAATCTGGACCAAATCTGTTGCTTAGATGGCTCTAAATGAAGTTAATTAGAAGCCCTTTCATTTCAGTTTAAGAAAAGCTGCCAATAAAGGTTCATTCTGTGTTTTAGGAACACAGAAGATCATATTTCTTTAAAACACAGCTTTCAATCTCTGCATGACTGTTCTAGAAGTAATTTAGGGGGATGTTTGTATCTTGTTGGAATGAGGCTATAATGGCCTCATGATATCCAAGTGGATATATAGCCATGTCAGCAAGCTGCGGAGAGTGGCTATATCACGTGGTGAACTCATCCCCCTTGTTCTGTGACCTGCCAACTAGAAACATTATAAAATGCATTGATTAATGACTTGTTCCACATTTGCATTCTTATTCAGATAGCTAATTCTAAGAGCATTTCACTTTTGTTCCACATTTCTGACCTTGAAACGGTTGATAAGATCGTATCTGGTAAACAGTTCATAAATCATAAACTTCAGACTGTGTTCTCCACTTGCTTCATTTAAGGCGAATACATCAAAAGACCATTTATCAACATCCTATAGAAGAAAAAAGTAGATACTTTAGTAGCAATATCATATAGTTCTGTTTCTCTCTATGAAAAATTCATGGAAAGATTAGGCATAGTACATCCAGCAGGTCAGATTTCAATTCAGCACTCAAACTACATTTTTACCAGCATCTGATAGGACAAGGCCACTTAGTATCCATGGGTCTACAAAAATGAGGCCATAATGTGTAATGTAGTGCAAAGATCTTCCCCTTAATCCCAGGGTGGTCAAAATTGTTGTAATAAACCTGATAACACTATAATACTGCCCTTATCCTTAATCTCTCTCCAAATTCATGCCATAAATCATTTTCCCAGAGTGGGCCTCATTTTAAGGTAGAATTACACCTCTTTTAAGGGGTGTGATGTCAATTGTCATAGAGGAAGGGTAGCTCCAATTTCTCTTTCCCACCCACCCACCTTCTCCATTGCTTGAAATTCCACCACAACAGTTAGTAATTTGGTTTAAAGTTTTGATTTTTGTGTGTGTGTGTGTGAGGAAGATCAACCCTGAGCTAACATCCGATGCCAATCCTCCTCTTTTTTGCTGAGGAAGATTGGCCCTGGACTAATACCTGTGCCCATCTTCCTCTACTTTATATGGGACGCCACCACAGCATGGCTTGACAAGCAGTGCATCTATGCATGCCCGGAATCCAAACCTGTGAACCCCGGGCCACCGAAGCGGATCGCGCGCAATTAACTGCTGCACCACCGGGCTGGCCCGTAAAGTTTTGATATTTTATGTCTTCTTTTAAGTTGCAAATGCCCTAGAGAGATAGAGTATATACTACCTTACTACTCACTCTAACCTCGGCGGAGTCATTTATACTTTCCTCCAAGGACAGATGGTAAGGAAATGAAGTGGTCTTTCGACTGAAGAGGAGGAGAGAATTTTGGCATTTCAGGCAATATGCTAGGGAAGTGGTCAGGCCTTTGGGAAACAGCTACCCTTGGAATGTATCCCTGACAGTGGGAGAGAGGGTAGTGAGCAGGTATGCCAGTCCAGCTGCCTCATGATTTTTGCTTAAGGTAATTCCAAGGCGAGAACTTGCAGAGGAGTCCATGAAATGGACTTGCAGCAAATGACGTCTGTCCTATACACTAAGGAGGTTGTCACGTAAAGTTTGAGCTCCAACATTAAATAAGTCACTGAAATTAAAAAATCTAAAGACAGCAGTCAGTTCTAATGATTATCGGAAACTATTAACAAAAAAGGTCTAGTGTTTACACACACAGCAGATTCAGTATTAACAGTAAGTGGGCAACCTTAAAGCTATGCATTAATTTTGAATTTGAGCGGGTACTTTTAGAACTTCACTCATATAACACATTTTTACGGAGGCCAACTGTCCGTGCTATAACACGCTGAAACTAAACTGAAAATCTGATAAAAAGTATTCAGGGCCGGCCATGTGGCCTAGGGGTTAAGTTCAGTGTGCTCTGCTTTGGCGGCCCAGGTTCAGATCTTGGGCGCGGACCTACACTACTGGTCGGCAGCCATGCTGCAGCGGTGACCCGCATACAAAATAGAGGAAGATTGGCACAGATGTTAGCTCAGGGAGAATCTTCCTCAGCCAAAAAAAAAAAAAAAAAAAAGTATTCAGTGTCTTTTAAAAATACTTATTTTGAAAAATAATAATAACAGCTTCAAAGAGTATTTTTAATCACTTGGAAAGACCAGTGAAATATTTTTTGCTTTGCTTGTGAAATTCCTGGCATTTGGCCCAGATTTGATCCCCAAACATTTGCTTTATCTGTTTGTAAATTTAAAATCTCTAAAAGTTCTGTTAGAAGGCATTTTACCACCAGTAAAGCTCAAAGGAGGCCAACAAATCTCTTATCAAATTCCAAAGCTAACAGAGAAGAATTAGTTCAGATTGTTACAAGGCTGCTATTTGCAGTTCCTGCGAGGGGTTTCCCACTGAGTGAAAGGTTAGCTCTCCATTTCTTGGGGATTTTTATCAACAATGATGATTTACATTTGTACACTACTACAGATACTTGACTTTTATGTGGTCAGAGTGAAAACAAACAAGAGAAAGGTATCTCAGGAAATAAGAATTATTTAACTAAAAATATTTTTTACTTAATGACAGTTCCTCCCTCAACTTGTTAGTTCATATGTTTTCTCTACACCACATTTTAGAAAAACTTTTAGATTCTCTCATACCGAGATATTTTGTTAGTTGGTTTTAAGCGCAGTTTCTTAAAATGAATAAAATAAAAATGAGTAATTTTCTTGCCCATAATTGAGGAAAAAGATGAGGAAATAAAAATCTCTCAAGAGCTAAGGAGGAATTAATATCCTATAATGTGACATTTCAGTTATATATTTGTCTTTATTATAACTTTAGAAATATAAATATAAAAAAGCATCCAAGAAAAATAAACTACCTTTTTAAATTAATAAGATTAAAATATAATATGCAGCAGAGAAAAAACAAATGCAAATGGGATGCTTAAAAGGAAATTAAAAAGCAGAAGAAAGCAATACAAATTTAAATTAGGAAAAGGGTTTAATAAATCAGAACTAAAGCAACACAGGATATTCGGTTGCCAGTATCCTTTAAATCCTCAGTTAATACAGAAAAACCACCATGAACCTGTTATAGGAGAATTCTCCCACCTAAATTAAGTGATAGAAAGCAATAAGGAATGTAGAATGATGAGCCTACAAAATGCTCCTGTGGATACGATGTCTAGCAACAGCCCCTGTATGTGTGTGCACACCCATGCAATGGAGATGAGCAAATGAGCCAAAAACTTTCACCACTTCGGAGTTTCGACTCTAGTTATTTCTAATACATTTAGTACTGTAATTTGGCCTCAGACTAGGGCAGCCCAGGAATAGCAGAGACAAGAGAGATAAATTTCTTCTTTGTTTTCTTTCTCAATTTTATCTTACTTTTTATATTTTTTCAGACCTAAACTTCTAAACAATTTTCTTCCACATAAGTTTTGTCCTTTAACTATATTTGACTGAGACATCTTTTTACAATGCATTCGACTCTTCCATAATATATACCTAACAAAATATATATAGTCTGACAAGGACTGGTGCCATCTCAAAATTGAATTCAAGATCCACCTAAATAGAGCATGAAGAAGAAAATATCACACGTGTATGTGCACACACAGGCATATGTTTTGATATAGCTTGTTCGTGTAAATCAATCCTCAAGTCTACTGTGAGTCATTATTTGGAACACATTATATTTTGTAAATGGTTAAAATATTTTTTACATTTCACTATGTAGACTGCAGCAAAGACCTATTCTCATTATATCCCAGTCATTTTAAGAAGATTTTAAAAAATGACTATTTGAAAAACTAAAATAATTTAAATTACTTCACCTTTAATGTTACTATGACAGCTTCTGGGTATGCCAAACCAACCATGTGATAGGACTTTCTGTACATTCTAAAAAAGAAAAATAAGCATATATGTATATACAAATCATTTATCCAAAAATCAAAGTTTTCAAGTATTTCTTAAATGTAAGGGAAAAGATTATCTTTGACTTGTTTACCTTCTATCATTAGTTACAGGCTCCCTTTGTGGCAACAATGATAACTATGGTCACCATTTATTAGGCATCTACAATGCGACAGATGCTAACTGTATTTTGCTTACTCACAACCACCCTATAAAATCGATGTGATTTTAGTTTCTATGTAAAAATATCTTTCCCTTAACTTCATCTTATTAAGAGGCACTGTCCTTTGTATGTGCAACAACAACCTTTCTAGCATGCCACCATATCCACGACAGCAGAGTATTCTTGTTTTGTGTCCATTTATGTGCCCAAACTTTCAGTGTGGAAGTTGAATGTCGTTAAAATATTTCCTTTATAGATTTTTTTTTTACAAAGTTGAAATTATAGGAAGAAATATGTAGTATCAGAATTTGCAGGTTTTTTTTTTTTTACAGATTTTTTTTTTGTTAAGAATATTGGAGGAAACAATAGTGACAAAAATTTCTGAAGTTTGTTCAGATTGTCATTTAATATTATTTAAGAAAGATTATGCAGAAAGAACAAAGTTGTTTCCATTTTTATAATAGTACCAATAACAAAAATATTTTATTAATCAGTAATTTGTTGGACTTTTCCACCTTCCGATGGGCAGGTGGAAGATGACATAAACCAAATATAAGAAACCCCTCCATGGATTCATGTGAGAATAGAATCGATGTGATACCCTAATGTGTAGAAATGTGTAGAATAGCAATAGGCTGCCACACAGGATTGAAAGATACATGATTATTAACTGATTCTGAATCATGTTCCTTAATTTTTATATTGTTAGTCCACAAGCAAGCTGCATTCCTAACTATATTGCTGTAACTTCTGCCCCCAAAATGCCTGGACAAAATAATGATTATATCATTAATTTATATTGGGGGTCAATATAAGAAATAGTCATTTGGAAAATATTCTGCATCTTTTACAAAACCACTATGGAAGATGCCAACCTTCTGATTCAATGTACCTTATATTAGAAATTCATAAGACACATTATTTAGTTTCTATGTAAAAGCTATCTTTTTCTTTTAATAATGAAAGCTAAGTAATTCATCATGTTTTCCTCTTTAACCTTGACTTTTTGGAAGCTCAGAATTAAATATTAGGTTTACATATATCTGTAGCCCAGGGTTTCTTGATCAAGTATCCCTTCATTTTATTACAGAGACATTGTTACTTTATTTCCATGTCCTCATTTTATGTTTATTTTAAATAACTTTAAATCATTTTTGGATGTGGGTGATCTGTCAAAAAAAATAAATTATCCTTATTCTCTTCTCTATTGGAAGAATTTTAGAGCAGTTCATAGACAAAAATACTTATATTAATTACTCCATTGATAGAGGCATAATTATTCTAATCTTGTAGGGCAAGGACACTACTAACCACACTATAAAAGACCCAGAAAATAATTACTGTCAAAAATAATATTTTTTTTTCTGAGGAAACAGTCTTTTCTGTCCATTTTTTTAGTCATTACTAAAAAAACGGTGGCAGAGGGGAAATGGAAGGGACATGGACAAGGGAAAAAAGGTCAATATAAAAATCAATCAGAATAAGAAATTTAAAAAATTAAGTAATATTAAACCAGTTTGACTTCACAGCACAGAAAGGCAGTATGATGTAGCAAAGAGAATATGCACTTTGAATAACAGGTTAGCCATTCACTAGCTGTGTGTGACCTTTGGAAAGCTATTTAATGCCACTCACCTGTAAAATGAGGATAATTATAAGCTTTCTGTAAAGAGTACATGATATAAATGCCTAGCATAATATAATAAATACTCAATACAAGAAAGCCATTATTATTATTAATGGGACTATTTTCATTACTCTGCAGCCAATACCATTGGCTCCCATTCTTATATTCTTCAGGGTTCCCTGGGCCCAGCAGGAACTCTGATGTTGTTGAGTTTCTTAGACTTGTAGCAGGTTGAGAAATGAATATTAGTGTAAGTTCTCATTATATGGAATGTAAAGAAAGACAAAGAAGAGGATTACCCTTTCAAAGAGTATTCCTTGCTTCAGTGACAGAAATGTTAAAAACTCTTCAAAAGCGTACAAAAGAGAGCTTTCCTCTTATGGTGGGAACAGGATGATCTTTTCTCTTCAATGCAGAGAAAGGACTGCTTGATTTTGGTATGCATTGTAGAATTTATTTTATGAGGTGTTACATTTTATTCAGGTAAAATTAGTTGTGTACTATATTAGTTGTGTACTATATGAATGTGTTATAATTGTTTTTAAACAGTTATTCACAAAGGTTCATTTGAACAGAATGGCCATTCAAAAGCCTTTGCCTTTAGTCTGTATGTCAATTAAAAAAAATAAAAATAATAAATCCAGGGCAAGACATTTTTGTTATAGGTAAATTCATCATAAATTCCTAAATTTGTTGATTCTGGGTATATTTATGATCGCAGCTTTCCTTAATAAGTAAAATATAGCACTCTCAAAACTTTGATATAGTAAGTATATTTCCTGCCTTTCAAATTTGATTATCTTGAGATACTAACAATTTCACTTACCTTTCCACAAAAATTCCAGCTTGAACAGCATGCACAATGCTCCTAAACTTAGGTTTTTCCTCAGATTTCTTTTTCATCATCCCCATTTTCCGTGTGAAGGTAGAAGCCAACCAGTCTCGGACTTCCAACGGGACTGAATCTGACTGAATGTCACTGAGCTCATCTTCGGTATCCAGCAGTCTTCTACAAACATTTATACCCAGTAAACTTGAGGAAAAAGTGAGCAAAAACTAATAACAAAACAAGCATTGCAATAGGATTTAAAATATCGCAAATCTCTCTCTGATCATCCCTTAATATGAACTATCTGAAGAAAGAAAAATGATTGGGTTAACATTTGGAAAGCTCTGAATTTCTCAAATTGATGATCTTCTGGGGGCAAGGACTAATGAACTTGATCATTTGCAGCTTCCCAAATATCTAAGTACAATAATACCATTCAGGAGATATGAATTGTTAGTAACATTAACATACTATTCTAATAATGAAGAAAACTAAGATAAGGTAGGGAAGAGAGTTCATAAACAAATGTCTGCTATTAAAGAAAGCAACCGGAGTGGAGAGAAAAAAGAGGGGCTGAAGCTATAAAAGGTGTCTTATATTTAATAATCTTGTGTATACTTAGTACAGATAGCAGATGCTATTTGAATAAGGCCTTGGAGTTTGCAAAAGTCATTCACATATGTTTTATTTGATTGGTATCTCTAAATTTTAGGAAAATAACAATTTAAGTACTCTAAAAGATATTCATGCTGATATCAACATCGCAGATAAAAAAGTGAAAAAAATAAAGATGAAAACAAATGGATTATTTTGAAAGCTCATTTTGGTGTCTGAGCAGTGTCAGAAGAGGAATACCTCCAGTTAAGAGCAAATGCTGTCTTGAGAGTGGATGAGTTTAAAGCTGCTGACCAAGGAAATCAACCGAGTGAATCAGGAAGTGAACAGAGACTGAAACCACTGCACCGCCCCACTCCTGTGTAAGCTCCAGCTAGATAACGTTCACCAGACTGACGAGTAATAATAGCTGCCGTTAAGGCCGGTCAGCTCCAATGATCCAGAACTTCCTAAAGGTCTGAACTGGCAAGATAGTGCAAAAGGCTCCCACAAAATACAAAAATGGCTTTACAGAGCAATTGAGCTTTCCCTCCAGGAAAAACACAGGCCAGCTCTGCCTGTCGCTTGACTGGGTTATTTCCTTATCAGAGCACCAATTTAATAACTCAGAGCTATTTTTGGGACAGTTGAGCTTGGACCTTTGGGTTCCATTCGCTTTGGCAAATCTCTTTGCACAGAAAGAGGCCTGAGGATTATGAGCCAATGGAAGGAAGGTAGCCAGAGACGACAGCGTGTGCTAAAGCCTCCAGAACAAGTCACAACCATCTTGAGAGGGCAGGAACCAAGGAAAAGGCAGAAAAGCAGGAAGCCCACCCAAAGCACCCCTCAATACTACAAAAGAGGCTCAAAAGATATATGATCTCCTCAATGTGCTGCCATTTTCTATAAACAGTCAGAGGACAGTCATTTGCCAGTATTTATTTTTCATGGTATTAAATAAGCATGAATGCATTTATGAAATATCCTACGAAAAAATATACACAACTTAAGTGCTGGAGTTACAAAACTACATGTATACATATGAAGATAAAAAAAGACTTACATAGTTGGAAGTTAATACTGATTAGTACTTACTTTATATCATTTTTAACTTTCTTTCGGATCTTACATTTGGATGATTTTGATTTACACTTAATACACAGACATTGTAATTCAGAGCAAAAATTTTTTTTTCTCCTTTTGTCCATTTTAATTAGATTCCTTTGCCAGTTGCAGCAAGACACTACACTACATAGTTTGAAAATATCAGGGCTTATGCCATTTGTATTATTATTGATTACACCATTTCTATTATGTCTTATGCAGTGATCAAATAAAACCACAGAGAAGGAGAGATGGAGTGGGAATCATTGTGGTGTAATCCTGTGATGTCACTGTACTCCAAGAATTCTACTGCTGCCTTGTCTTATCAGCTACTTTAAGTAGAATGAGACACGTAGTGATAGTTGCTGATTGCTCCTTTGCAAATTTGATGTTGATGACTTTAAGGCTATATGTCCTAAACTCAAATTATCCAAGACAGATCATCAATCAAAACAAAATCAGCATACGGAAATGAGAGTTCACATATGGATGTGGTACTCAGGAATCCGGCAATCCTTAGTCATGATCCATGATGTAGTTTATTGAGAAGGAAAGGGCATATAATCTCGGGGAGAAAGAGTAATATGGATTAATTGGTGGATGTAGGAATAAAGGAAGAGAAAAGCATGGACTATGATACTGTATAATTAAAAAGTAATCTTGAAAAAGCAACAAATACTTGTGTGGTGGTTAATTTTATATGTTAACATGGCTAGGTTATGGTGCCCAGTTTTCTGGTCAAATACCAGTCTAGATGTTGCTGTGAAGGTATATATATAGAGAGAGAGAGCGAGAGAGAGAGAGAATAAATGCTAAGGATATATACATAAAGGCTAAGAAAGAATATTTCCAACATTCATGAACACTATGTGGTAACTACAAGTATGGGTTATAAATTAGAAGATAAAGGCTCAACTCTCTATTATATTAATATTAATTTAATAGAGCATAACAATCCTACTTCAGGTTTTAAAATATAATAAAAATCCCATTTGCAATAGACTAAAATGCCTTCTTAGCCATTATGGATCTGAACACCCTACCAACTTTTCATGGCTTAATGGCTCATTTCTTTTTATTGCTGAATAATATTCTATTATATGGATGTATTACAGTTTATTTATGCATTCTACCATTGAAGGACATCTTGACTGCTTCCACATTTTGGCAATTAGAATAAAGCTGTTATAAACATTCATGTGCAGAGTTTTTTGAATTGATTTGAATGAATACCAAGAAGCACAATAGTTGGAGTGTATGGTAAGAGTATGTTTAGTTTTTTAAGAAACTTCTGAACTGTCTCCCAGAGTGGCTGTACCATTTTGCATTCCCACCAGCAATGAATGAGAGATCAGCCAAGCCACCATCATCTCTCGCCTGGCCCACTGCAGTAGCCTCCTAACTGGTCTCCCAGCTCTGTGCTCTCTCTCTGTCTCTTCTTCCCTCTGCAGTCAGAATGCCTCTTTTAAAGTATAAGTTGGACCATGTCAATGCCTAATTCATAAACAAGCTATGTCTCATCACAAGCTATGTCTGCACCTTCATCTCTTGACTAGCTCCCCTTTAGTCATTCTGCTCCAGCAATACTGGCCCCCTTGCGATACTCAAACCTGCCAAGCTTGCTTCTGCTTCAGGGTTTTTGTACTTGCTGTTCCCTCTGCTTAGAATCTCTTATGTGTGGGTCATTTCTTCACTGCACTCAGGTAGAGAGGGTTTCCCTGACCCCCTTACTCAAATAGTAAACACCTCTAGTCTGTCTTTTTATTCTGCTATAGACTTCTTCTTAGCACTTAGCACTACTTGATGTCATGCTATGTTTATTGGTTTGTTTATTCATTTTATGTTTCATCCACTGGACTGTAAAGACCCGAGAACAGAGAGGTGGTCTGTTTTTTGCATTGTTCTATCACCAGCATCTACAACAGTGCACGGCACAGGTTGGGGGATCATCATGTATCTATTGGGTGACTAGAAAATGTCTAGAAATATTTACACTAAATTATTATAAGTGATTACCTTTAGGGAGTGGAGTGAGGATGGAGACAGTATAAGAAGTTTTAGTCTTTATTTTTTAATTTTTTTTTTGTGAGAAAGTTTGGCCCTGAGCTAACATCTGCCAATCCTCCTCTTCCTTACTGAGGAAGACTGGCCCTGGGCTAACATCTATGCCCATCTTCCTCCACTTTATATGGGACGCTGCCACAGCATGGCTTGACAAGTGGTGCGTCGGTGCGCGCCCGGGATCCGAACCAGCGAACCCTGGGCCGCCACTGTGGATCAGGCGCACCTAACTGCTTGCGCCACCGGGCCGGCCCTGAAGTTTTAGTCTTTAGAGTCCCACATCATTTGATTGATAAGCAGCAGCATCCTGGCAGTAATTCACTGTAGCCAATCATTTCTTCATTGCCTTTAGGTTAATTTACCCTTGAACAATTCCTTTACAATTTTTGAAGCAAGTTAAAGGGGAAACGTATATTTGGCGTGGAAAAGAATATTAAACATTTTTATTGCATTTTGAATTAAAGACATAGGAAAGAAAAATTTTTTAAATTGTATGCACTGTTTACATGCCTTTAGCCAAGGACCTCAGTATTTCTGTTGAATATTAACTCTTTTTTGTTCATATATCAAGTAGAGTATGGTAAGAAATTCCTAATGAAGACATAAGTTGCAGTAGACTCATTAAGATAATTATTCCAGTTTGGAGAGAAGAAAGTTGAAAGACAGGTGGATAAAACCTAAATTTAAACAAATAATAAAATAAACCAACACACCTAATGGCACATATTTCTCCTCCATCTCTCTCTTCTTCCGTATTTGTTTTCCCTTTCCCTGAGACCTGCCTTGTACACTCTATCTTCCTTGCTCTGAGCACCAGGAGGAGCTCTTCAGGTTTCATTTGACCATGCTACGTAGGGCAGGAACAAAAACTCTAGTATAATATGGAATAGTAACCCTGGGCTTTTGTTAGAGAATTATCATAAATAATTTTCCTATACATTTATCTAAGACATGAAAATATCTGAATACTTATATAAGATCATGTCACATGTAAAACACACAAGACTACAGTCTGCCCTCATTTCATTTTTGAAAAAATTTGTGCAAGTAGCTTGATAAAATGGGATCTCAAATACTATAATGAATTTTGCTTTCAAAACATCCAACAGCTTGATTGCTCTTCATCATAGTGTTAGATAGCAGAGTGAACATAATTGTTTGCACTGCAAGTGCTCTTAAAAAATGAAGACTTTGTGGGGGCTGGCCTGGTGGCATAGTGGTGAAGTTCATGCACTCCACTTTGGCGGCCCAGTGTTCGCACGTTCAGATCCTGGGCGTAGAACTACACACTGCTCATCAAGCCATGCTGTGGCAGAGTCTCACATACAAAACAGAGGAAGATTAGCACAGATGTTAGCTCAGGGGGAATCCTCCTCACCAAAAAAAAAAAAAGACTTTGTGTTTAAGAAACTTACAATATA